AAGGAGAGAAGGAGGGTCTGACAGACGGACGGTTATCTACATCCACACCCATTGGCCGAGTTTAGGCCTCACCGAGTCGAGAGACTCAAGCTTGTGGGGATTCTGCGACGTGGGGACGCTGCTGGCGACGTGTAACCGAGTGTTTGTTCGCCTGAATGGAGACTCGAAACCGGGGGGGGGGGGGGTGGGGGTGACACTCGGCACCGCCACCTCTCGGCCACACCTCGCTGCAGCCCCCACGCCAGAGGTCGCAATCGGGTACCCGATACCCGTACCCTACCCGATACCCGGCCAGATACCCGTTTGCGACCCTGGTGTGGCCGGGTACAGGTAGGCCGTGAGTCACTGGTGAGTAACCGTTTGTCACTCATTTCCCAACGTCTTGTCTCTTCTCACAATTCAAGTTCCTAGAATCAACCCACCCACGCCTGCAACATGGCTTCATCCCAGAGGTCGCAATCGGGTACCCGATACCCGTACCTTACCCGATACCTGGCTACCCGTACCCGGCCGGGTATCGGGTACGGGTACCCGTTTGCTACCCTGGTGCGGCCGGTTACGGGTAAGGAATCAAAACCTGTTTGCGACCTCTGCCCTACGACACCCGGCAAGCCCTGGTGTTCGCCCATCTAAATGCTAGCCAGGCCCAAACGCCGCTGCCTGGAGCCGATGAGGCCGAGCGTGTTTGGGGGCGATTCTGTCAGTCCGCTGCCGGACGAAGGCCTCGTCGCTCTTTTGTCGCTACTGCCAAGGCCATTGCTCCCCGTGAACTTTTCCGCTCAGAGTTGACGGTCCGCCGCTCGTCTGTGGCGGCGCGCCAGTCGCCGTTTAAACCGCGCTTTCGAGTGGAGAGGGTTGGTGGTCTCCCTCCGTTTAAACCGCGCTCCCGAGTGGAGAGGGTTGGTGGTCTCCCTCCGTTTAAACCGCGCTCTCGAGTGGAGAGGATTGGTGGTTCTCCCTCCGCTCGCGAGCGGGCCGCTCGATAGAAACCCGTCGCGTTAAACTTTGCTCGATCTGCCTAAAATTCTAGCTCTGAGAGAATGAACAATAAATCGGTCCGACTGTCACGTGAAGAAACTTCACTCGCAGATGCTAAACACATTGCACGATGCAACACAATTTTTTGTTCCTGGGTCGTAAGTGTTATTTCGTAATTGCTTATGCCTAAAAAGTCTAGAAAGTGGCTATTATTCCGCACAAACTTTGCTTTTGTGACCAGGACAGTGATGTTCTTTGGGTCTTTCGGTAAAGCCACGTAAGATAGGTTCAAAGAAAATTATTAAAAACGTCGACGTTTCGATCGCAACACAAGCGATCGTCATCAGGAGGAGAAAAAGGCGACCGCTTGTGTTGTGATGGAAACGTCGTAGTTTTTTGTTATTTTCTGAGACCTGTCTACTTGGCTTTACCGAAAGACCCAAATAATATGAATTCCTGCAGTCACGAAAGCTTTAAGTCAAGATTTCGGACAGTGATCATTTGAAATTTGCCTTATTTTCAATGAGAAAACGGGCGAATTTGTGTCTTTTCGTTGACACTAGTCAGAAAAAACAACACATGAATCTAAATTAACATGTATTTATACTAAAGTAATAAAAAAATGACTACAAAAGATTTAGAAGTGAGTAGTTTTTCGAGATTTACGATTATACTGTAAATCACTTTCACGAATCAGCCCCCAAATCTAGTCTCCCATCATGTTCTCGTTATACTGTCCTTGGTAGCGGCGTTCAAACTCCAGTATATCCTGGTGGAAGCGCTCGCCTTGCTCCTCCGAGTACGCTCCCATGTTCTCCTTGAATTGATTAAGATGAGCATCAAGGATATGGACTTTGAGGGACATCCTACGGCCCATTGTGCCGTAGTTCTTCACCAGTCTCAACCAGCTCCTTGTGATTGCCCAGGAAGCCACGAACCACTGCGACAAAGCTGTCCCAAGCCGCTTTCTCTTGGGGAATTCATTGCACTCCAGGATCTTCTTTATCTGTGGTCCGACGAAGACACCGGCTTTGGCCTTTGCCTCAGACAGCTTAGGGAAGAAGTCTTGAAGGTACTTGAAGGCTGCCGATTCCTTATCTACAGCTCTGACAAATGGTTTCATAATGCCCAATTTGATGTGCAGTGGTGGCATCAGCACCTTCCGGGGGTCCACCAGTGGCTCCCACTTGACGTTGTTCCTCCCCACAGAGAACTCGGTCCGCTGTGGCCAGTCCTGCCTGTGGTAGTGCGCCTTGGTGTCTAAATCTGTTGTGATCATTTTTGTATTACTTTAGTATAAATACATGTTAATTTTGATTCGTATGTTGTTGTTTTTCTGACTTTGTGAACGAAAAGAGACAAATTCGCCCGTTTTCTCATTCAAAATAGGTACATTTCAAAATATCACTGTCCTGGGCATAAAAGCAAAGTTTGTGGGGAATAATAGCCACTTTCTGTACTTCTGAGGCATAAGCAATTAGTAAATAACACCTACTACCCAGGAACAAATAATAGTTTCACAGTGTTATCCGTCGCGTCTTTGTGGAGAATATAATTAACAAAATAAACTGGCAGGCAAATCGCCTCCCTCACAAGTCTGTTTCTCCGCTTAAAAAAAAATATCCTTTGGATGTGCAAAAAAAAAAAACCCACTACGTTTTAACGTTTTTAGACGGCTGTGCGAGGAGGAGGAGGAGGCGGAGGCGTATTCTCACTTGCTGTGTCAGCAGCAGGAAGTGCTGCCCCCTTCTGTGTGACCGGAGGTCATTTAAAGAAGAAGAAGAGGGGATCCCAAGAGGTAGCTCTGTGGTATCCGCTTCCGCGGACCGTTCTCTAGCATCGGGGATTCCGCTGCCTTGGTGAAGAATATTGAAACTGAAATTCGGGTTTGACTGGTGACAAAAGTGAACGCGCGCAGTGCGGTGGCGTGGAGGTTTGGCGAGCGCTGCCACACCCCGAGTGTAACACCGTCACCTCACCACGAACCACCGCCGGACTTGGCGACTCTCTGCCGCCACCGCCGTCTCCCCGCAGGTCACCTCGCGCGTGCGTGCGCGGTGTCCGTGCCGTAACATTGTCCGTTGGTTTGTCCACGGTGGCTCGGAGATGTTAACTTCTTCGCCCGGTATGCAGGAGGTCGCGAGTTCGATCCTGACCCTGACGCCTGTTGTACATTTGGAGCTTGCGTGTCTCTCTCCCTGCGGTCGCGTGGATTTGTCTCTGGGTTCCTCCGGTTTTTCCCTCCAAGTTTCTAATCAACATCACGCGTTTAGAGTATTTGGCCGCTATAAATTTGCACATGATGATGAGCCACTTCGTTGGGCTATCACTTGTGGCCAGGTCGCTTCTGAAAAAGAGCTACACAGCTCAGTGGGCCCTTACCTGGTAAAATAGAAAGTTTCGTTTTAGTTTAAACTCGGGGGCTGAGTGCAGGCCCCGAGGTCCACAACGTCAAGCGGCGACAATGATTAGCGCTTGTTTCCTGCGGACTGCGTTGTGTCATAGGCCTTTAGGCCTGTGTCTATTCTCGTCGATTCTTGTGTGTGACAATGTGTCTTCTTGATTCTTTCGGTAAAGTCACGTAGAAGGGAAATAATAAAATTATAATAAAACATAATAAAATACAGTTCTCACAACGTTTCGGCCACAACGCAAGCAGCCGTCAGGTGAAGAACAGGTCTGTCGGATGCTGTCTTTCCGACAGACCTGTTCTTCACCTGACGGCTGCTTGCGTTGTGGCCGCAACGTCGTGAGAATTGTATTTTATTATGTTTTATTTTTATTATTTTATTATTTCCCTTCTACGTGACTTTACCGAAAGAACCAAGAAGATGAATCCCTGCAGTCACGAAAGCTTTAAATCGACAAATGTGACAATGTGGTTTAGGAGTTCGATACCAATGTCGAGGTCCAGCTGCTGTTGAGCAGCATGAGACAGCTTCAGCAGAGACGGAGAGTTCGTGTCGTGTCGCTGTTCCTCCTCCGTTGAAAGAGCGCTCAGTCACAGTGGGCTCACTGCGCGGTCCGTAGTGTGGGTCACGTGGCCACAGTCGCAACACTGTGGCTAGTGTCGTTAGTGTGTCTCTCTGCATCTCTATGCATCTCTATGCATCTCTCTGCATCACTATGTATGTCTATGAGTCTCTGTGTTTCGATGGTCCATAGTCTGGGTTGCATGGCCAGTCGCGCACCTCTGGTTTGTGGCTTTAATTTACAGGTCTCTTTGGGTCTATGGCTCTCTGTGTATCTCTGGTTGTCTGTATCTCTGTGTCTCTATGGGTGACTGGGGTCCGTACTTTGGGCTGCATGGCCCCAGTCGCACTCCTGTGTAGACCTCGGCAAGGTAAGGTAAAAGTGTAAAAACAACGAGCCTACCTTTACCCTACCTTTTACCTTACCACAATACAATCACTCTACCCTACCCTTTACCCTTTAGCAGGTAAGGTAAAAGGTTAAAAGCAACGAGCCTACCTTTTACCCGACCCTTTACCCTTACCCCTTGGCATGTCGACACCTTTACCTTTATCCTTTTACCCGGTAAAAAGGGTACAATTACCTTACCTTGCCGAGGCCTACTCCTGCGTCGTAATTTTACATCTACGCAGGAGATGTGTGCATCGGCCTGCTGGCGATGTTCCCACGCCGCTGGTGGTTACCTTAGGGCCTGTGCCCACCAACAGCAATAGAAACATTGGTCCCGTGCATGTGTCTGTGCATGTGTGGGCGTGTCTGTGCGTGTCTGTGTGCGCGCGCGCGTGTATACTCACTTCCATTGGCTGACGCTGATCTCGCTAAGCTGAGTTTGATTCCCTGCCATGTCGAGCATAAGGGCCAAAAAGGATATCTTAACATGTCCTGGGCTTCTTCTAGGCCGAGACTAAGGTGGCAGATCGTGTTGCTGATCGCCCATCCCCTCGTGCGCCTTGCCAGCCTTCATAGGTGCTTCTCGCTAACAGCACTTGCCCCAACAGTCTATTAAGGCTACAGGGGGGATCTTTGTCTTTGTGTGTGTGCGCTCGCAGGCCGTGCCTGCTCATTACGGCCACCAAGGGATGTCTGGATACTGCCCACCAGGCCAAGGCCAGCCCCACCAGGGCCAGCCTCACCCGGGCCAGCCCCACCCGGGCCAGCCTCACCCGGGCCAGCCCCACCCGGGCCAGCCCCACCAGGGCCAGCCCCACCCGGGCCAGCCGCACCCGGGCCAGCCACACCAGGCTCAATCGCACCCGGGGCAGCCTCACCCGGGGCAGCCTCACCCGGGGCAGCCTCACCAGGGCCAGCCCCACCCGGGCCAGCCGCACCAGGGCCAGCCGCACCCGGGCCAGCCGCACCAGGGCCAGCAGCAGCAGCAGCAGGGCCAGCCGTATTACGGGCAGCAGGGAGCGGGGGCGTATGGGGGCCAGCGGTACCCCATGCAGCAGGTGACCATGCATGCGGCGCTCCTCCTGTGAAGGCCATCTGCGGGCCCGGCGCGTGGCCGGTAGGCGGGCGGGCGCGCGAGCGGGCGGGCCGGGGGATGGCCCTCATTACCGGGGCAATGTAAATCCGTGCTGGGGGCCATCGAAAGATTCACCACTCCCCCGCTCCCCCCCCCCCCTCCTCTCCTCACAATCGGAGGGATTCCGCGAAATGTCTCGCCAAGGTTCCATTCATCAACCGCGTGGCGTAGAGGCCGTACGTGTTGCTGCAGTTGTGTCCTCTGTCTGGTGTCCTCAATACTGGCTCCGCGGTGGCTATGAGATGTTAACTACCTCGCCTGGTATACAGGAGGTCGTGGGTTCGATCCCAACCCTGACGCCTGCTGCTGTATATTTTGAGTTTGCATGTTCTCCTCGTGGTCGCATGGATTTTTCTCTGGGTCCTCTGGTTTTTCCCTTCACATTTAGAATGAACGTGCGTTTAGAGTGTTTGGCTGCTATGAATTTCCACTTGATGATAAGCCACTTTGTTAAGCTATCATTTGTGGCCAGGTCGCTTCTGATAAAGAACGTTATAGCTCAGTGGGCCTTAGCTGGTAAAATAAAAAATAGTTTGAATTCAAATGAGTGTCGAGGCATTGGTGCTCATGTCCTGTTTACAACTCTGAGCTGGGAGGTAGAAATTCCTCATTCCTATGGCGGGGGTGAATCTATCCGATAGGACAATTGCACAAAGTGGCACTCACTTTATCGACCCTGGAGGGAGAGATGGTGGGCCAAGTCAACCCTTCAACCAGAATTTGAACTCGCAAACTTTCCATAAATCATGAAAAAATATTTTGGACGTCTTCAATAAAAACTAAACTTCCCATCGGCTGCACGGCCTTCTGGGAGCGCATAGCTACAGCAGCATTTGCTGACTGCAAGGGAAACTGTGGACCGGTTTCGACATGCAGTGTCTCATCGGCAGAGCCAGGGGCTTTTCTGAACCAATTTGGGTCAACTGCCAGATGTTTGCAGGCAAGGGCCCCTCTCTGGGATATGATACGAAAATATAAGAGTACATTTAGATTATAATTTGCGTTACCTTATCATAATTGCGAAAAAAACACACATTTTTTTGTAATTGAACAATCAATGATTTTCTATTTCTTGTGGGAAATGGTGAATGTTGGAGCTTCCGCAGTGGTGCAACGGTCAGCACGCTGGACCTGCGAGCCAGAGGACACCGGTTCAATTCCATCTGCTGCGGCGGCAGTTAAAACGATGAGGACAACTTTGTTAAATGATGCCCCCCCCACCCCCTTGACCTGCCCACTTAGCCCCCACCCCCCCCTTCTTAGCCCCCCACACTTCTTAGCCCCCCCTTTGCACCCCCCCCCCTTAGCCGACCCCCGCCACCTCTGTCCACCCAGCAGTGTAAATGAGGTCCCCATTGTCAAAGTCGATCGGCAGGTCGCGTTTGGTGGGGTAAACATGGCTACTCTCTCCTCCGTTTAAACGGTCGACCAAAGATCATCCCCCTGTCGAGTGGTTCGCCGGTGGGCGGCGGGGCCTCCTTCCTCCGGCAGTGGCTTGAGCGAGCAGTCGCAGGGCTGCGCCTTTGCCTCCCTCTCCCCGTGTGCGATTTGATTTGGCACCCGACTTTCTGCGGCGGTGGGATGTCGATTGCGGGGGTAGTTGTTATCGGCGCCGGCTGCCACACGGGGAGGTTCGTCGGCGATGTGGTGCGGTGAGGAGTCGGTGGTTCGTCGCCGCGTGCCGGACAAACGCACGTCGGTGGCTGGCGGAGTTGCGGAGAGGTTCCGCTCGTTCCCACCTGATTGGCGGATTCATCGATGGGTCGTTACCAACCGACGCTTGCGCGCTGGAGCGGTGGGGGACGCCGCGAGAGGGTGGCGAGTGAGCGAGTGCGCGGGCGTGTGGGCGTGTTTGACGTGCACGCGTGTCAGGTGACCGGTCGATGCGTGATGATTTGCTGAGTCGAGTCGCGCGCGTTGTTTTAGGAATCGGCTTGGTACACGCGGGCGTTTGCACGCACACACGCGCACACACTTATGTACCCATATATGCACACTAAACAAAGACATATATCCCCCGTGTAGCTTCAACATACTGTTTGGGCAAGTGCTGTTGGCGAGCACCGATAAAGGCCGGAATGGTACACGAGGGGGTGGGTGGTCAGCACCATGCCCAGCTGCCTTTATCTCCCCAGTGGCGATGTTTACCGACCGCACCAGGTACTCATTTGAGGCTGAGTCGACCTAGGGGGGGGGGCCCAGGACCGGTTCAGATAATCGTCACCAATGTTGGCCGTGAGCGGGAATCGAACTCGGGTCGCCAGGTTCGAAGCGTGGCGCTAACCGTTAGACTACCGCTCCCCACGCACACACGTCTACACGCACGCACGCACGCACACCCCTACGCGTACACGCGCGGCGCAGACACATGCTGCCAGAAATCGGCGTGATTGTTAAATTGGATATTGTAATTTTTGTTTTAAAGGTTTTTACAGTTAACACAAGCTTAATTAATTTTAGTTGCAAATTGAGAGACACGCAAGGTCAAGTTAACCCCTGCACGGCCGCGACCGAGCCACCACCCCCTCCCGACGCGTCGAGGAGCGGCCCCCGAGCGCCCCGCTCTGAACGTCGACCCCCTTCGTGTGTCCCCCCCCCAAACCTCCCCTCCACCCGCCCGCCCCCCGACTATCTCCCCCCCCACCATCTCCTCCCGGCCCTGCATAACCTCGCCGCCCCCCCCACCCCCACGTGTCCACCAGGAGGTCCCGCAGGAGCTGTACGGAGGCAGAGGGCCCCAACCGCTCCCCGCTGGGAAGGCCGCCCATGACGACATGGGCATGATCCAGCCGGGCCGTCCCTCCAGCCTCCCCGTGAGTGTGCGGCGTGACGAGCAGGCCGGCCTACCCGTGAGTGTGTGGAGTAGTGAGCAGGCTGACCTCCCCGTGAGTGTGTGGCCTAGTGAGCAGGCCGGGTTCCCCGTGAGTGTGTGACGTGACGAGCAGGCCGGGTTCCCCGTGAGTGTGTGGAGTAGCGAGCAGGCTGGGTTCCCCGTGAGTGTGCGGCCTAGTGAGCAGGCCGGCCTACCCGTGAGTGTGTGGCCTAGTGAGCAGGCCGGGTTCCCCGTGAGTGTGTGACGTGACGAGCAGGCCGGGTTCCCCGTGAGTGTGTGGAGTAGCGAGCAGGCTGGGTTCCCCGTGAGTGTGCGGCCTAGTGAGCAGGCCGGCCTCCCCGTGAGTGTGCGGCCTAGTGAGCAGGCCGGGTTCCCCTGAGTGAGCGGCCTAGTGAGCAGGCCGTCCTCCCCGTGAGTGTGCGGCCTAGTGAGCAGGCCGGGTTCCCCGTGAGTGTGTGACGTGACGAGCAGGCCGGGTTCCCCGTGAGTGTGTGGAGTAGCGAGCAGGCTGGGTTCCCCGTGAGTGTGCGGCCTAGTGAGCAGGCCGGCCTCCCCGTGAGTGTGCGGCCTAGTGAGCAGGCCGGGTTCCCCTGAGTGAGCGGCCTAGTGAGCAGGCCGTCCTCCCCGTGATTGTGTGGACTAGCGATCAGGCCGGCCTCCCCGTGAGTGTGCGGCCTAGTGAGCAGGCCGGGTTCCCCGTGAATGTGCGGCCTAGTGAGCAGGCCGGGTTCCCCTGAGTGAGCGGCGCGACACCCAGGCTGGCCTGCGTGTAATTGCTTGGCGTAACAAGCAGGCCGCTTTCCTGCTGCTGCAGCGCTGTCCAGCTCCTTGGTGCTGAAGGGTTCATTGACCCCGGCTGCAGTTGAGACTGGGTGTGACCTGTGTGTGTGTGTGTTTACTGTGGTTAGGTGAGAGGTGCGAGCGTGCGTGGGAAGTGGTTATCTAGCGGTTTAGCGCGCTACGCCATGAACCCGGCGACCCGAGTTCGATTCCCGCTCACCGGCCACCAAAACCGGTGACCGTTATCTGAACCGGTCCTCCCCTAGGTCGACTCAGCCTCACATGAGTACGTGGTGTGGTGTGTAAACATCGCCATTGGGGAGACACCCCCCCCCCCACCCTCTCGTGTATCGTGCCGGCCTCCATAGGTGCTCGCTAACAGCACTTGCCTCAACAGTTTGTTTAGGCTATACGGGGGATCTTTGTCTTTGGTGTAAGTGGGGTTAGTTGAGAGCTGCCAGTGTGATTAGGTGAGAGGTTGAGAGGTTGGTGGTTGTATGTGGTTAGGTGAGCGGTGTGTGTGGTTAGGTGAGCGGTGTGTGTGGTGAGGTGAGCGGTGTGTGTGGTTGTGTGTTGTTAGGTGAGTGGGGTGAGCGGTGTGTGCGATTGTGTGGTTTTGTGTGGAAAGGCGAGTGGTTTGCGCGTGGCGATGTGAGCGTTTGCGTGCGGTAATATTAGCGGTTGCACGTGGTTGCGCACCATACGCCACATGGAACCCTCTAACTCTCGCAAGCAGGGCTGCCCCCCCTCCCTCCCCATTCACTCCCCAGGAGGAGCCTTCCGGAGGTGCTCGCACCAATTAACCGAAACATCTCAACCAGACTCGCCTGTCGTGGAATCGCGGCTGAGTAGCGTGACTGTCGGCGCGTGCGTGTGCGCGTGTGTGCGTGTGTGTGCGCGTGTGTATGCGCGTGTGCGTGCGTCTGCGTGTGTGCGTGTGTGCGTGTCCGTGCGTGTGTGTGTGTACGCGTGTGTATGCGCATGTGCGTGCGTCTGTGTGTGTGCGTGTGTGTGTGCGCACGTGTGTGTACGCATGTGCGTGCGTCTGTGTGTGTGCGTGTCCGTGCGTGTGATTTACTCCAGAGGCCTACGGTGGGGCTCGTTCCGTGTGCGTGTGAACCAGAGCCGCTAACGCGCGCACTTCCGGCGGCCTTCTTCTTCTCGTCGTGCGCCCTCTCGCAAATAAATCTCGTGCCGAATTAACGGCACGGCCGCACGTCTGGGGCGCCGCGGTGAGCGAAAAGTCCCCTGATGTGCAGGAGGTCGTGGGTTCGATCCCGACCCTTAAGCCTGTTATATATTTGGAGTTTGCGTGTCTCTCTCTCTGTCCCGTGGATTTTTCGTCACCGGGTCCTCTGTATTTTCCCTCCACATTTCGAATCGACGGTGCGCTCAGAGTATTTGGCTGCTATGGATTTCCACGTGATGATAAGCCACTCCGTTGAGCTGTCGTTTGCGATAGCCAGGTCGATTCTGATAAGAGCTACGTAGCTCAGTGGGCCTCCTTACCTGGTCAAATAGAAGTTTGTTATTAAATAGCGAATATCAAGGTGAGAGGGATGCACAGAGAGGAGGAGGATTTGCTTTTTGGTCTCTCACGACGAGGAGCAGGAGGACGGACGAGGACTTGCGCAGGCACCGGGGAACTTTGCCGGACGGTGGCGGTGGCGGTGGCGGTTGTGGTTGCCGTGGCTACGCTGCACGTGGCTATGCCCGTGGAGGCAGCAGGGCGAGGGGTTGCTGGATCACCGCACAGATTTTGGCGGAACTCCCTTCTAGCTGTCGGGCGTCGAGGAGGAGCCGTTATACCCCCGGCTCGCCAGGAGAATGCGGCACAGCAAAAGTGCGCACCAATCTCCACCTGTTCCATGGGAAGGGGGGGATGGGGGTAGGGGGGGTGACGGACCCCTCCTTTGCACGCATTGGTTTCCCCGGGTGCTCTGGTTTCCTCATTAGCTGGGGGGACCGCAGAGTTTGGGCAGTTGTTATTTGGCACCGGCTGCTCACTGCCGGGTTGACTGCTGCCATCCCCGCTCGTGTGCGCGAGCGTGCGGGGCGTTGTTGCCACGGGGGGGCGGGGGGTTCGCCGGCGATGCGATGCGATGACGATTCGGCGGTTCGTCCCGATTCCGGGATGGGATTTTATTCGAGGATCGCCGTTTTTGTCGTTGTCGTCGTTTCCTAGAGAGAGAGACGGAGAGAGGGACTGGCACGTCACGGTGTCTTGAGTCGTCGATTGAAATCCATGTCTCGTGCCCGCGACAATCCGTTGCTGATCCAGAGCCCGTGTAAGAATGAATGCAATAATGCTGCTGCTGTTGTTTAGCTTTACGTATCGCGGCGGCGTTCGCGCCAATCGCGTCTCTCGCAACCGAACGAGAGACGAGCGCCGGCGGCGACAGTCACGCGGCGGTGAGCCGGCACTACCAACAATCGCCCGAGCTCTGCGGTCCTCTGTGCACTAAGGTGTTTTCATCCAGACGAACGATCTGCGACGTCCGCCGCTCGGGGTCGTGACGTCGAGCGGCCGTGTTGGGCCGCGCTCTTGACGCCCCGCTCCGTGCCGTCGGCTTGCCCACGATAGCCTCCTCCCCCTGTAAAGCAATAGCAGGTCGTTTGCATGTCATTTGCATAGACCATAAATAATTGATTATCATACTCCGCGGTTTGATGGATGTATCGTGAGCGATACATTGATGCGTGGCTACGTGCCTGGACAATAGCAGGGAGAGCCGTGCAGGGTGCTGGGCTGTAGCTGAGAGGCCCTGCAAGGTGATGTAGCCGAGAGGACTTTGCAGGGCGCAGGTCTGTAGCTGAGAGGGCTGTGCAGGATGCTGGGCTGTAGCTGAGAGGGCTGTCCAGGGTACATGAGGTAGCTGAGAGAGCTGTGCAGGGTGCAGGTCTGTAGCTGAGAGAGCTGTGCAGGGTACATGAGGTAGCTGAGAGAGCCGTGCAGGGTGCAGGTCTGTAGCTGAGAGGGCTGTGCAGGCTACATGAGGTAGCTGAGAGAGCCGTGCAGGGTGCAGGTCTGTAGCTGAGAGGGCTGTGCAGGTCTGTAGCTGAGAGGGCTGTCCAGGCTACATGAGGTAGCTGAGAGAGCCGTGCAGGCTGCAGGCTGCAGCTGGGAGGGCCGTGTGCGCGCGAGTAGCAGCTGTAATCGGCGCTGAAGCCCCGGCGGGCGATCGTGCCGTGAATGGTAACGCGCCGAGCCGCGAGCGCGCCGCTCGGCCTCTGCGGGGACCGTCGGTTTGGCCTCCCTTTTGTTGTCGTCGGCGGCAGCGCCGCCGCTCCCAATTCTCTCGGCCAAGGCCAAAGTCGCCGGGTGCCAGCTCTGCCCGTCTCCCCCCCCCCCCCCAACCTCGGGGAGGGATGGGCGTCACCGCCGGGTCACGGGGGTCACGGTGCTGTGGGGTGGTGGGGGTCAGTGTCGGACTCGCGTTCCTGCTCTCTCTCACTCACTCTCTCACGCGCGGTGACATCTGGGCGCTCCCGCTCAGCCTCTGCTCACTCACGGTTGCCCCATCTACCACCCCTGGTGACTTCCGGTTGGCTGGCACCACCGTGTCACTTTGGAGAGGAGGCAGTGCCGGACGAAGCTAGTGCGGGACCTGTAGCATATGTTATAAAGGGGCCTTAAATTAATAAAAAAAACACAGAAATCTTAAAACACTAATTTTTTAACTTGCATAGTAAAGTCATTGTATTTTTTCATTTGCCATACGGCCAGATAATACGACAAATCGCTAACCTTAAACACGCAGCCATTCATAAAAGTTGCAGGCGGTATAGTACTATAGTAATAGAGCAAGTGCAGAATCACTGAACCGGAATTGATGGATCGAAAGCATTTAGCGCGAAGCCCTTGAAAGTGCGGGGCCCGTAGCTACTACATATGTAGCTACTTTTGCTACTAGGATCATCCGGCACTGGGGGGGAGGGGGGGAGGCCTTGATGGGCGCTGTCTGCGGAGAGTGGAACTCCCGCACAGGGCAGCCGGAGCCTCCCAGGGTGGCTTGGCCCGGGATTTGTCTACCCTGTTGAAGCTGACTGCACGCGGACGCTTCCTCAGCCAGTGGTCTGATTCGTAATTGATCGTTGGGTCAGGCCACGCGACCATCTGTCCACATTTGTGTCGTTCAGAGCCCTCGACCAAATGAATGAAATAGTCTCGCGTGCAAAGATTTAACAATAACAATCCAGGAAGTAATCCCAACTTCCTGGATTGTTATTCCGGCTTCCTGGATCCCGTCCTGATAATGTTTTGACGCTGCTGCAAAACTAAAACGGTCGCGTATCTCTGACTGCTGCACACTTGGGGTGCGAGGATCGTTCCTCAACTTCACCGGCGAGCGAGCTGAAACGATCACGATCGCCGCGCCGGTTAGACGCTTGCACACCGCGCGACGATTACATATTGGTTGCGTGGCTGCGTCGCGTGGTGGGGGGCCAAAATGACACAGAATTTGGCGGGATAAATGTTTCGGTGAGAATTATGAATCGTGGCGAAGTTGGTTTGAAGTTCGATGCTAATTTGATATTTGCAACCGCGTCATCTAGACTTGTGGAACTAATCAACTCCACTTTTCCTCTGAATTCTAGAAAAAAAAAATGGATTGCGACACGTAATTGGGAATGACGTGGATACGAAGTTCATGCTCGCTCGCGTGGGTTAGAGACGCACACTTTACTCGTTTGACTCGCCCATCCAGTAGAGCCACATTGAGGACTCTTTTTTCAGGAGGGTCCTGCCACTACATTGGACGGCATGGTGGCTAGGAGATGTTAACTATCTCGCCTGCTATACGGGAGGTCGTGGGTTCAATCCCTACCCCTGACATCTGCGGTATATTTAGAGTTTGCGTGTATCTCGCTCTCTCATCATCACCACCGTGGCTAGGAGATGTTAACTACCTCGCCTACTATACGGGAGGTCCTGGGTTCGATCCCTACCCTGACATTTGCTGTGTATATTTGGAGTTTGCGTGTCTCTCACTCCCTCATCATCACCACGGTGGCTCGGAGATGTTAACTACCTCGCCTACTATACGGGAGGTCCTGGGTTCGATCCCTACCCTGACATTTGCTGTGTATATTTGGAGTTTGCGTGTCTCTCACTCCCTCATCATCACCACGGTGGCTCGGAGATGTTAACTACCTCGCCTACTATACGGGAGGTCCTGGGTTCGATCCCTACCCTGACATTTGCTGTGTATATTTGGAGTTTGCGTGTCTCTCACTCCCTCATCATCACCACGGTGGCTCGGAGATGTTAACTACCTCGCCTACTATACGGGAGGTCCTGGGTTCGATCCCTACCCTGACATTTGCTGTGTATAGTTGGAGTTTGCGTGTCTCTCTGTCCCCGTGATTGCGTGGATTTCTCTCCGGGTCCTCTGGTTTTCCCCTCCACATTTAGAGTCAACATCACGAGTTTAGAGTATTTGGTTGCTGTACATTTCCACGTAATACGCCAATTGGTTGAGCTATTTGTGGCCAGGACGCTTATGAATAAAAAATAGTTTAAATAGTGGAGTTTAGTTTTTATTTAAACGTTCTGTTCAGCCAATTGATGATGATTGTTTTATTTTACGCGTGGGAGGAGGAAAGTGAACCCACGCCTTGCGCGAGGGAGGGGCGGGCGGGCGGGTAACAACAACAACACCGCTTAAGCCCCGTACAGATGGAAACAGATGGCGGGTGAGTCCGCTTACTGTACCGCCTTCCCCCGGGCTGGCGAGCCACGGTACGGCACCACCCCCTACCCCCCAAACGCCCTCGATACGCCATCCATGTTCAAAACACACCACGCCGTTGAAGGCGCGCGGGTCTCCCGCCCTCTCCCCCCGAGTGGCCGGCCCGGGTCTCGGGGCGGCACCGGCCCGGCCGCCGACTGCGCGCAGCTCACGGGGAGTTCTCCAAAGGCCCCTTTCGACCAACGGGCTTGCCCCGGCGGGGCCGCGGTGGCGGACGCGCGGCGCAGAGACTCCCACGCAAGTTTCCAGGCCCCCTCTCCCTCCCTGCTCCCTGCCGGGTGCTGCCTTGTAGGGAGAGTAGTTGGCGAGCGGTCGTGGTTCACGCGAGGACTTTTACGAACGGTCCAATGAGCCTACCCGGCCGTGTAACCCTCCCACCGTCGCCCTCCCCCTTGGCGCGAATGGTGCGGCCCGGGCCTGGATGCAGCTGTTGCCTTGTAGGGTAAACTAACGGCCGGCGTGGGGGAGGCTTCCCAGGCCTCTTTCTGGGCCGTGGCCGCACGTGGTTACAAGGCCGTGTCGTGCAGCACGTTGCGGCAACGCGCGGAGGGGGGGGGGGAGAGGGGCGGGGGGAGCAAATCCGACAACTGTTGAGTTGCTCGTGCGTTTGTTTTTCGTTTCTGTCATCTGAATGATTCACCTGGAGACTCCCCCTTGATGGGGGCCCGCCTCGTTGTGGCGGCGGCGGTGTGCGGGCTGCCCCTCCACGCGCAGCAGCAGCAGCAGCACAACGCGGAATGGCGCGTCCACGCGCATTTACAATCGATCACGTTTGCAGGTTTCACTTAATCAAATTTGCGAGTGATGAGGAACCCCCCCCCCACCCACCGCATCGTAACAGAGACGGTGCGCACGCACATCAATGTGATATCACGTTCAAACTCAACTATAGAATTAACCAAGTGGCTTATCATGACGTGGAAATTTATAGCGCCCAAATGCTCTGAGCGCGTGACGTTGATTCTAAATGTGGAGGGAGAAAAACCGGAGCACCCGGAGAAAAATCCACGCGACCACGGGGAGAGA